GTAAAAAAAAAAAAAAAAAAAAACATGAAAAATACCAATATATAAAAAAATGATAAGAAAAAAAAAGAAAATTTAATACAAAAATGTCTATATGTCAATACTACCTATCAAATAATTCGTATTACGCATGCGCACTATTTCTATCGAGAAAGATCACGTGTCATGGCGGGGTGAATTTATTAAAGAAAAACGTGATTACCATGTACCGCGCGCCACGAACCCTGACCCCGCTCGTTTGCGAGGGGGCGATATCGTGTGGTGGCTCGAATAAAGTGTGCGACAACGCAGGGGCGACAGAGCCGATATAATCCGATTTTACGAGGCGGCCCACGAGAGAAAAAGATTCAACCGGCTGAACAGAGAAAGTCCACGAAGAAGGTGCGACAAAGAGGACGAGAAAGTAGGGAGATCCTATCTCGACCCCGTGCTGCTCTCTCCCGAGCGATATAAACTTAGACGCGAATTAGTGGAATCGCGCAAGCCGATACCATCTCATTTCGACCGGCTGGCGAATAACCACCATAGGAAATTTATCGGGAAATTAAATTACGAATTATGCTAATCCAACCGAATAGCCGCTCACCTCTCTCTTTTTCTCTCTCTTTCTTTCTTCATCTCCGTAAGAATGAAATGAACACGACCAGTGAAGACGACGATGTTGTTCGATTCGTACTGACAGATATGATCGGTCCATCGGTTCTAACCAACGATGCGACTTTTGTTTATAATATATTTCATACCGTTTTCGAATTACACGCGAGATGTCGTGCGTGACAGTGCCACCCACTCGCCATCATTGGCCGCCAATTGGAATATCTTTTTCTTATTGTCGACGATAAAAGACGATGCTTGCATGTAATGCAATAAAATGGATTATAACAAACAATGGAATATATCTGGTTATTTGAAGGGTGTTATTAATTTCAGTGTAAGTACATTCGTAATCTACAAAATGTCTATGTCTTTGTAGGTATTTCGTTATTCACGCGTACATAACCTCTCGTTCGACTTCGTTGTCTCTTTCTTATTTAAAGTTTATTGTGCATAATTTTAACCAGTGACAAGATTGTCATACTATTTCTTACTCGTTAATCTGATTGCCAACAGCGTTTTTTTAACCATCTATTCGAGTTTATAAGATAGCAAGGAATTTCGAGGGCGTGAGATGTAATGCCACGTTTCCAATGGTCGTCAGCGTGGCGTCTCTTGTATGAGACACGCGTAGACAGACTGTATATCTTTGTCTTAAGTTGGAGAAGGATGGGGTTAAAGAAGAAAGAGCAAAAGACGCGAGAGGTGGCCAGTGGAAAGCCGACTTCTATTCTGGTCAGAGATGCGATCCGATTGCGCTCGACGTCGCGTTAGAAACGCGAGACAATATTATTAGACACGTTGGAAAAACGAAGAAAAAAAAACAATTTCTAACAAACTTATACCGACATTAACGTTTGCTCATGGATCATACAGTTCAATTAACAATGAAGCTGGAAATTTAACGATATCAGAAGGAAATTATATCCTACAATTGACATTTTATGTTATTTTATTATCCCCAATAATAAAAAAACATATTGTTTTAAGGAAAACTATAAAATCTTTCTTAAAAATATTTCTCAAGTAAGTAATAATTAATTGGCATCATAAATTCTATTGTATAAGTTTGATTTCCACCTCGAATTTTCACAAGATAATTTATCCACGAATTAAAAGGGTACATTATTATCCCTCAGGAGGAGAGCTCTTTCAAATACAAAAGATGAATATTTCAGGAGCTTACTTTGAACACAGTCGAAAAGGCAGAAAGGCAAGCTTTTCTCCGCGGACGAAGAAGCATTTCATGGATGTGAAGAGAGCAAATTGAAAATCGGTTGGTCAGTTTGTCGGCAAGCAGAGAGAAGATTTCCCCAAGTACACAGAGAAAAGAA